AGTGTCTGGTGCGGGTTTATGGGACGGGACGGGACGGAACGGGACGATTTTAACGGGACGGGACGGGACGGGACGAGATTTAGGCGGGACGGTGGCGGGACGGGACGAAACGGGACGGGACAAACGGGACGAAACGGTCGTCCCGTCCCGTCCCGCCAACCAAACGGGACGGGACGGGAGGTTCGTGGGCCTTAAGTGTATTTTTTTTTTAAAAAAAATTCTAGTTTTTTGAAAATTACTATGTTTTTAAAGTTTGCAACGGCTAGATTTTTGACTTATTTAATAAACTTAAATATTACTATGTTAGTATGTTAAAAGAAAATTAGAAAACTAAGTAAAGAATTATAAAATATTAAAACAAAAGACTTGTAATGAAATAATCTAGTAAATATAAATTTATAATAGAGTTATAATTTATTTAATATAATTACAAAGTATTAACTATTAAGTAACACCGACAAATCATAAAAATAATTCATCTCTTAGAGCCATTTATTTTATTAATAGAACTTTCAAATCTCAAATACAAATACAATTCTTTTGAAGAGCACCTAATCTACGCAGCCACCTTCTAGGAAGGGTTCTGTTTGAACTAGGCCTCTCAGTAGCCAATTACAATGATACGCAAAAATTATATATTAAAATTAGGAGATGGAACGAGTGCACCGTGATTAAATATTGAAACTTGAAGAAATTGCCCGAAATATTGCTCCAAATACTTGACGAATTAATTTGAAGCTTGAAAGTTGCTCCAAAAAATTTGCCCAAATACTTGAAAGTTGAAAGATATCACTTGATAGTAACAATATTGAGAGAATAATATTAGAATATTAGAATGTAAGAGATTTGAGAGAGAAGATTGATTTTTTGTGGGAAAAATGAAGAAGAATGGGGGGTATTTTATAGTAGAAAATAGGGCCAAAGTGTCAAATATTAAACTTAGGGGTTATATTAAAAGTTTGGGGGGAGGGGGGGGTTGGGGGTGTTTTGGGGGGTGTGGGGCTTTTTGGACCGTTGGCAACGGCTATTTTTGCAATTTAAGCCGTTGCCCAACGGCTAGTTTTTAAATAAAAAAAAAACAGGCAGGACGGGACGGGACGGGACGCGGGACGGGACGGGACGCGGGACGGGACGGGACGCGGACGGGACGCGGGACGGGACGGGACGCGGGACGGGACGGGACGAAGCGGGACGAAACGGGACGGGACAAACGGGACGAAACGGGCGCCCGTCCCGTCCCGTCCGTGTCCCGCGTAATATTGGCCCATCCCGGTTAATTTTTAGCGGGACGGGACCGGGACGGGTCGCGGGACGGGACCGGCCGGCCCGTCCCGTTGGACAGCCATATGCGGGTTTATTCGTCTTAAAATTTTCATTAAATATATAATATAAACTATTAATTTAAGATTCAATAACTTAAAATTATTAAGATCATGCATCCATGTCACGACCCCAATCCCGGTCGTGATGGCGCCCAACACTGATGCTAGGCAAGCCCGACCAATTAAATACTCTCAACCCAAATACGTAATCCATTAACAAATAATACGATTAAAATAGCAAATGTCAAGGTTCTAATCCGAATTTAAATAAAATAGTACGAAAAATAATAACGAATATTCCAAACATTCCCCAATAGATCTGGAGTCACGAGTCTAGAGCCTCTAGATGTAATAGAGTAATATATATCCATAGTGATAAAGAAGTCTAGAATATGAAAGAAATAAATGAAATAAAGGGGAGGAGTCGGGTCCTGCGGACGTCAGGCAGCTACCTCGACAACTCCTGAAGATAAAATCCAAGAAGACAGCAAACCGCTCCACTAAGTCTCCGGAGCACCTGAATCTGCACACATGGTGCAGGGAGTAAAGTGAGTACTTCCAACTCAGTGAGTAATAAACATATATAACGGCTGAAAGTAAGAAATTCCGAAATATTACAATATAAAGCTATAATCAGCGATTCAGCATATAAAACGGTGGAACAACAACAATACCAGGACAAGTAAGACAAATAGGTATAAATGCATGAATGCAATGCAATGCACATGACCGCTGCGGCGCGCAGCCCGATCCATTTGGGTACCCGCGCTCACTGTGGGGGTTCAGACTCCGGAAGGGCTCCTACAGCCCAAGCGCAATATCATCGTAACATTCGCTGCGCCGTGCAGCCCGATCCACACTCAGTCCCGATATATACATGCATGCAAGCCACTCGGGCATAGTCAAATTGTTCATTTTTAGTTTCAATTATTAGGAACTATAGAGCTATGCGTTTAAACCTTTATTTATTTACTAAACATTTCGAGGCAGTGTCTAACTCAGGACTGATATCATGAAATATGCTAAGCATCATGGAAGCAGTGATAAGGATCCCTGAAGGATGCACATGATAGGCACAAAGCCCCAAACATATTCATAAAATCCAAGTAGGATGATTACCAAACAACTTCTAGTCAAGAACACAGTACGAACATCGATCGGAATGGACTAGGTCACAATCCCCAGTCACAATCGACCCCGCACTCGTCATATGAGTACGTGTCTCCCCTCAATATAGCGTCACAATGTGATATACCGGGGTTTCAAACCCTCAGGTCATCATCTACATCTATTACTCACCTCAAGCCGGCCACAAGTCTAGCTCGCTATGCCTTTGTCTTTCGAATCAACCTCTTCGCACACCGAATCTGATTAAAACCACAACGAATACATTACAATAGGCTAAAGAAACATAAAAACCCAATCGAAAAGACTCGAAAAATATCAAAATTCACTAAGTTGGCAAAACCCGAGCCCCGGGCCCACTTCTCGAAAGTAAAAAAATTTTACACCAAAATGTTCCTTATCTCGCCACGAGTCTATACATGTAAAAATCACAAGAATCGGAGCTCATTTGCTCCCTCAAATCCCAAAATCTCATTCAAAAACCCAAGCCCTAGTTCTTCCCTTCTTAACCCAATTTCCATGATTTTAAGTGTTGAAATCACAATAAAAATGACGTTTCTAGGCCATAGGACTTACCTCCAATCGATTCCCAGTCAAAACCCTCTTAATTGCTCGCCAAATACTCCCAAGGTCGCTTAACAATGGTGGAAAATAACCCCAACTCGCGGATGAAATGTTTTTTAAACATGCCCCAGCTACAGTGTTTTCGCAATTCCCAGCAAATCCTTCGCAATTCCCAAGCTGCAGTGTTTTCGCAATTCCCAAGCTACAGTGTTTTCGCAATTCCCAAGCTACAGTGTTACACCAGAACCAGCAATATCAAACTTCTCCAAAATGATCTGAAACCACCCCGAAACTCACCCGAGGCCCCCGGGACCTCAACCAAAAACACCAACACATCCTAAAACATCATCCAAACTTGTTCCAATTATCAAAACACTTCAAACAACACCAAAATCATCAATTTACATCGAATTCAAGCCTAAGTCCTTCTAAATCTTTCAAAACACGCATTCGATCAAAAACCCAACCAAACCACGTCCGAATGACCTGACATTTTGCACACACATCCCAATTCACCTAATGAAGCTAAAGCAACTCTCGGAATTCCATTCCGACTTCCGGATCAAAATATCACCTATCAACCGGAAATCGCCAAAATACTAACTTCGCCAATTCAAGCCTAAATCTACACCGGACCTCCAAAATCACTTCCGATCACACTCCTAAGTCACAAATCACTTCTCGGAGCTAACCGAACCATCGGAATTCACATCCGAGCCCTCTAACTCATAAGTCAACGTCCGGTTGACTTTTTCCAACTTAAGTCTTCTTAAAAGAGACTAAATGTCTCATTTCTTATCAAAATCGCTCCAAACAAATTCTAATGCACCCAATACCGATAATGAAACATGAGGAAGCAGAAAATGGGAAGAACGGGGCAATAACTCACGAGACGACGCGTCGGGTCGTCACAATCCATGAACTTGAAATCATGATTCCGCCTCTGATTGAGAGCGCACTTAGTGAGCTTCTTATAATTGAAGCTTTATTTTATCGGTAGTCATTTCATTTTGAATTTATAACACAAAAGTCACTTTTTTATGTTTTCTCACATAAAATCATTTAACTTTAAGCTTGTAACACAAAAGTCACGTTTCTATTTTTTGTCACATGAAAATCATGAACTTTGGCCAAAGTAACTAAAAAGTCATTCAACTTTGGCCAAAATAACTAAAAAGTAAATATAACCCAAATTTTATATTCATACTGAAAATACGACATAACGCTCCAAAATAAGTTAGTTATATTTGGAATAATTTGAGAAACCTCCCTCCAAGTTTCGCTAATCGAGTATTATGTTTACTTTTCTTATTTTTGATTACTTTGTAATAATTTTGTTAACCCATTATCATTAATGTAAAAAAATATAATTTGACTATTTTGCCATTATTTATTTATACTCATTTGTGTATTGAATTTTACAAAATACCTTTTTAAGTTAGCAGAAGAGTCATTGTTAGAGCATCAAAAAAATCAATGACAAACACGATTTTCGAGCTCGATATGTTTCGTGTGGCTTCGAGTTGTTATAAAGAAATCAAAATATGAAAATTAACGTAATTTCACAAACTACAAGGAAGAGTAATATTTGAAGAGAAACATGAGGGAGGTCTCTAAAATTAATCTAATATGTTTTATTAAGCTAGATAGCTATCTTGAAGTATCATGTCATATTTTCGGTATAAAATAAAAAAATAAAAACAGGTGATTTTTACATTTTAGTTAACTTGGCCAAAGTTAAATGACTTTTATGTGACTAAAATAAAACTATGATTTTTGTGTTACAAAATCAAAGTTAAATGACTATCATGTAACAAAAAATAGAAAAGTAATTTTTGTGTTACAAACTCAAAGTTGAATGAACACCGATAAAATTTACGCTTAATTAGTACATATACCTAACCCGTTGGTTCAAGACAGTTATACATCTCCAAAAAAAAATGCACCGCTTCAACATCTCAAACCTTTAATACTACAACAACAACAACAAAAAACCAATGAAATTCCACAAAGTGAATATTGGGGAAGGTAAGTGTACGCAGACCTTATCCCTGCGTTACGAAGGTAGAGTCAAACCTTTAATACGAATAGAGAAAGACATTACTAACTTTTAATTCATGACCATTCTAAACCTTACACGGTTCAGTTGCATTGCTCTCGGCATACAAGGTTCCTACTATAACAGGGTTAAAGGAAAAATCAAAATACCAAAAACACGATTTGCCTTCTCTTGCTGTACAAACATCTGTTTGTTTTGCCGCATCTAAAAGGCGCGAGCTAAATTCTAAACCGACAAAGACGAGATCCGCCCCGGATAAAAGGCATACAGAGGTATCAAGCTACATTTGATATATTTACAACTTGTAGGTTCCATCTAATATCATCAGCCACTACACTATGGATTATAGCTGAGACATACAACAACTAAGTCACCATTTGATTCGACTTCCCAAAGACTTAAGGGTAAACTTACCAACGTATATTTTAATGGCGTTGTATTATGTAAATGTATCTTCCCGATCTGCCTCAGCAGTGTCACCTTCCTCCATATTGCTGAATTCCAGGAAGTGTGTAGGACGATGATCCTCATTGTAGTACTCCCGAGGTGTACCTAACTTCACCCCGTACTTCATGCTAACAGTGTGCTTCACTCCCATGAAGTTGTAATTCCATGGACCATTATCAGGTACCTGTAAAACAAAGTTAAAATTTAGATTCAGTTCTAGACGGATATGGCATGGAAGGAAGCAGGGAGATGCAGGAAACATGGGACGGGAGCAGCAATCAAAAATCCAACTGAATAATCCATAGACTAGCACACTTACCATGTAAAAGCCAAGGAATCGGTCACTCAACAGCATCTGGACCTTCTCGTAATGAGTCGGCAGGTAACCATGAGGGTTGCTACCTGTATCTTTGTTAGCACGTCCCCATTCATACCCAGTTGGTGTCAACTTATATGCAGTTAACGAACAAGACCCTGGTGTGAAGCTGCATGTCAATATAATACACTTCTCTCCATCCCAGTGTTTGTTGTTCTCAAGGATCCGAGCATGTGAAGTAACATCCTGTTATTCAGAAGATTTACACATCAGAAGAGCTATGCATAGAGCAATTGGCTAAACAAACCCCACCTAACCCCTGGAAATATAACTCATTAAAGCCGCACAACAAAACAAAGATGAATAGAAGTTAACCTGTGGAGACAGCTGAGGAAGTTCATTTGGTTGTGTGTGCATCCATCCCAAAGGCTCCAAGTCATTGAGAAAATCATGCTCCGGAAGACCGGAAGGTAGATGCACCTGCTGATGTGTCCCCCACTGTGGAGGCATTGCAATACACCGGATTTCCTTCACCTGAGGATTATCTGGTGGACTTACACCATATAAGTAACCAGCAATTTGTGTCCGCAGATCGGCAATGCAAATGAACTTCTTCAGAATATTCTTTGGCATGATGTACGTATATCCAGTCTCCTGCACAAACAGTTAAAAACCAAAATATTAACACTGATATGTTTCTAGTGTAACAGTTATTCTACGAACAAGGTGCTAAAGGTATAGTATGTCTAGTTAAACAATAGATGGCAAAGCAAGTGTTACCTTTATGTCCTCTGAATTGACATATATGTGGTTCACACGGAGATAGAGATTTGTTGCAGAAATTGCTCTCACACGCCAATCTGTTTTAGAGCCAAAGGCAGCTTGCTCGTAGGGACTTGTAGTAGTAACAATCAACTCATCACCATGGACATTAGTGGTCTTTGTGGTAACCGCTGTCAGTTGACTTGCTTCCTTGGCCTGAAAAGATGATGCACATTAGCAAATGAATCTCTAACAACAAAGGGGGCTACACTGATAAGTACAAGGACCAAGATTATTACCTGTTTCTCAATCTCAGCTATCTGTTGGCGCTGCTGGGATGGAGGAGTAATCTCAGCTCCAAGTATAATATCACGGATCTCAGACTGCGTCAATGCTGATGTGTTGACATTGTTCTTTTTTGCATAGTCTGAGAGAATGAGATCTCTAAGCGCTACCTCAACCTGCACCATGCACACAGTCCAGAATCAGAAAGGAGTCCACCAAATTAAAATCGACACAATCTCACAGGTGTGCCACTGAACAAACCAAAGAGAAGATTACCCTTACGAAGTATAAAGCCACTAACAAAAGTTTCTTTCACAATATCAAGGTATGGCAAATTCAAGGAGGCATAGGTACATTTTCCTAAACATACCTTCATCCACTGGTCATCTGTAAGTGAAGGCCAGATGTGGTGAGGCTCAGTAACAACCGACTTGTCAGGCTTGAGTAGCATCTTAGCCTTTTCATTGTTCACATGGAGTGCACGCAGGATGAGGATGAGCCTGGAGAATGCTGTATAGGATGAGATGCTCTTCAACCAATCATCATATATGTTGAACAGAACCATTTGTGGCTCCGTAGCCTTCAGTATAAGATCACCAAATTTCTCTATCTTCAAACAGGCCTGGAATGGTAACTGCAGCTCACTTCCTTTGATCACAATATTCGGAAAATCGAGCAAGTGGACCTCCAATGGATCAAGCATCCCTTTCCGAGTCACAATAATTTGCTTCGGTTGTTCTTCAACTGGCAAAGACCTTACAAGCGCAGCCACTTCTTCGGCTGTTTTCCACTTAGCCAGCTGGCCAAGACGCTTTTGCCCTGCCCACACACTTGTGTGAATGACCTGTAAATGAAAAGCACAGCACACACATCAGTTAAGAGGACAATGGAGTTTGCCCAGGAGTAAACAAGAAAATTACAGTCGAACTGCACTTACCTTCAAAAACAGTTGACCTGTCCTAGGATTGAAGATGAAAATTGCACCATTTATGGGCTTTGTCGTCAGATTTCCCTCGAAGGTCTTGTGGATGGTCACTCGGTACACGTTTGTGTCATCAACAAACCATATAATTTGATTGCTGAAAATCTCTCCATAATTCTGAGATGATAAATATGGTTCTGTGGGCTCTGAAGAATACAATTGCAACCCTTTCCTTATGCGTTCCCTCAGAACATAGAGTGCAGGGTTTGACTGCATAATGGAGCATAAGGGTGTTAAGAAACTTTCAGCTGCAACATATACTACACGCAAACCAGTTCATGAAAATAATGGATGATTGAAAGGGGAAAAGTACCTTCATAATCTTGTTCATGGCTTGGGCAAGCAATGGTTTTGAACCAGGGAACCAGTTACCAAAGGCAGAATGCAAGTTGTAAGCAAGGTCAAGTCCAATCATTACACCTGCAAAAAGAAATAACTATAACTTGACCGACAAAGGAAATAAATTCAGTTGATCACTAGATGCACACGTGACATACCAGTAGGAGATGGATAAATAGACATGTTGTCTGTTGTGTAATCCATGAACTTTGCACGTGTATAACGCTCGATATCATGAGAATCATAGTCACCCCATCGAAGCTGCACATCTATCCAGTATTTGTTACTAGCTTTCTGGTCAAACACATCCTTCGATTCGGCAACAAGACTAGGTTTTGACATTGGCCATCTATGTGCAGCAAAGAGGAGGATGTCAGCGCACGAGCTATTCATCTTGTAACTCTTTCTTGGATGAATTGTTTCCTTCTGCACAGTCTCAATTTCCAATGCATCCAACTCTTGATCCAAAACTTGGCAAAGATCCATGACAACACTCTCATGGATCTTCTGCCACAAATGTGCACGGAAGATCTGGATCAAAGATATCTTCAGAGTTGGAATCTTCCCGTGCATAAATATCCCGGTCAGGTCCAGCTGTACTTGGAAACCAACATAGACATTGGCCCTATTTATTGTTGGCGACCACCAAAGAGTAAACCTACGATTAGGGATTTGATTAAGCCCAGATCGTTGAGCATTAGTCAATTTCTTGTACTTCATGGATTCCTCAAAACCTGAAGCTTTCTCCCAGAAAAGACCCTCCCAAGTAGGGAAACTGAAATATCAAGGAAATTAGTTAGTAAAGCCTGCACCAAAAGGTTATGCAAAATTGCAAACTGAGACCACACAATCCAGTTCAGAGAGTAAAAATGTATTGGCTCCCCAATAATATTTAAAGAAATACAAAGAGCAATGAGGAAGAGAGCATACTATGTTCCTTTGAATAATGTGTGCTCAAGAATTCCTTCAACTCCTCCAAGAGCTTGTATCACATCAGTACGATAGTTATTCAGGTTCCATAGCTTTCCATCATGCCTCTGGTGTGTCCACCAGAATGGATTCTGCTTAAGAACTTGGTACTGTTTAAAGTCTGTTCTCACTCTCCATCCTTTGTCATATGCAAGGGTGTGGCGATCCTTCTGGAACAATGTATTGATTCGAGGAATTCCACGATCCCATGAATCCTAATGAATCACAAGAGAGGAAAATTAACAAAACCAGCAAACAGTCAATCGCCAAAATAACATGAAAGCTGCAAGTTCCCCCCCC